CAATTGCAGAACACTGTTTGCAATGAATCATTTCTTTAATGATTTTACTATAAAACCAGAAATATAAGCAACTACATCCTGAATGTATTCGCTCAGAAAATATATAAATAGGTAATCATGGTCACGAAGCTCATTTGTAAATTCCAAATTTTCTTTAGTGTCTTATTTGTAACATTATTTTAAATTTAACGCAATTTGGCTACTAGTGTTGCTACAATCCAAGATGCTGGTGTCATCTAAAGCAATTGCATTGGCAGTTTTATTTGACTTTACTTCATTATGAATTAATAATTTTTTATAACAATTTTGAAACAATCTTCATGTGAGATTGTTATTGAAGCATCTGCTACGAACTGCACTAACAAAAAAGGATTTTTTTTCTTCATTTTTCGCCTATTCAACTCTGTAAAATGTGATGATTACTGTATAATTTTAGAGCTTACATATAATAAAAATACCCATAATAAATACTGTACTTATTTGATAGGTATAGCATTGTTTTAAGATGTGTCTACCACTTAAATTTTCATAAATATCTGCCATACAAAAATGGTCAGAACATATACTAAGGCTTCTTTCATTTTCATAATGTTTTCCTCCACCAAGCATAGATTTTGCAGCCAAATTCTACGTTGAATAATTTCTCTAGGAAACCTTATCAGAAAATATAGAACATTATTATTTAAATAAACAATGCTAGTGCTAAATGCATTTACACTGTTAAATAAATTAAGCCTTATTCCCTGTATATGCCTACGTCTATGCTAACATAATCTTATTTATGAAATGACCGAATAACATTCATATTCTACGTATTTCGGCACACTATACATTTCCTCCCCATCGTAAAAGTCCTTAATACAAAGTTCAGGGTTTAAATTATTCTTGAAAACTACAAAAAACCACAACAATCACAATAAAACGTGATCTGTCACTTTGACAATATCAGCAAAATGTCTTAGGTTGCCAAAGTTAAATGATTTATACCAAAATGTTTAATATTCACATATGATACACATGTAAAAATAGCTACTTAAAAGTCTTAAGTGATTGCAATTAATAAAAAACTCATATTGATGCTTTCAATTCTTTATTTCCTTTTTTTTTATTAGATTGTATTAAAGGTAATAGTAACTTTTTAAATAAAAATTTAATGTTTGATATTTGATGAAAGAGATCTGACAACATAGGAAGAGCGTACCGTCAAAAAAAAGTTGCGGACAAGTGTAATGTATACAAGGCGTATCTATTATCCGATATCTTTGCCTCCAACATGCCTCTATAATAGTACGACTAACGTGAGAGTTAAAAATTGTTGTTTAACGTTTAACTTGTAAGTTTATTAAACATTGAACATAGTGTTACCTTTTTTTTAAGTCAACTTATATTGTAACATGATATACATGGTATAGAATACCCCTGAAAAGGACTCGATGAGCCGATTTTAAAAATATAACCTTTATAAAACTGCACTATGTCAACATAGTTTACCTCCCAGGTAGATTTCGGTAAATATTCAATTTAGTCTTCATGATATAGGTATACAGGGTGTTTCAGATTTAAACGGACACAGCTTAATGGTAGGTAGAGTACACTTAGCTAGTTCAAAACACCCCTATACTTAGCCTTTAATCTTACTCGTTTCTGATTGTTTACCAAAACTAAAATCGGCCATTTTGTTTGAACGGATAGAATTATTTTGGTAAATTTTTGTACAAAAGTTACAGTTTCTTAGGTTAATCAAAACCATAATTTAATTTAAAAAAATTCCAGGACCGGACCCTCTTTTTTTATATTGCTTTTCTTGGCTAGAATATCACCCTGTATATCGGATTTTAATAAATCTTACTGCACATTTAAATAGTACGCGGATCAATACATAAAATAATGTAATATTATTTAATGATTTTCTTACAGTCAATTTTTATAATGGCGACTACAATATTATAAATCAGTTTTTACAAAATTGAAATCAAATATATTAATCTGTATTTTTAAAACTCTACACAAATTTGGTACCATCTTTATTTATTTTTAACTACTGCATTTTCCAATAAGAAATTGAACATCTACACAGGACCGGGCTCATTTTATTTGATAAAGTAACAGAACAAACTAACAGAAACAAATAATTAATTTAAACTAAAGTAAATTTTCAAAATGAACACCTCTGCGAACATCAATACACCTCTGCGAACGTTTTAACAGGTTTTTCACTGATTTGTCAATTATTTCCGGTTTATTTCTAATGTTGTTGCATACATTATTAATTTTTTCCAATAACTGTGCTCGGGTATTCATTTCTTCGTTGTACACCTCTTATTTAAGGTAGCCCCATAAAATATAATCCAGAGGTGTTAGATCTGGAAATCTTGGTGGCCAATTGGTCCTATCCAGCGACTTGAACAAACATTAAATGTTTGATGTAGAATTTTAAAAAAATCACCTAATACCCAAGCACAGTTAAATCATCGTTTCCCAAATAGATGGATAGGTCGAGGCGATCCCGTCAATTGATCACCAAGATCTCCAGATCTAACATCTCTGCATTATTTTTTATGGGGCTACCTCAAATCAGAGGTGTACAACGAAGTAATGAATACCCGAGCACCGTTATTGAAAAAAATTGACAATGTATGTAACAACATTAGAAATAAATCGAAAATAATTGACAAATCAGTGAAAAACCTGTTATGAAACGTTCACAGAGGTGTATTGGCGTTCACGGTGTTCATTTTGAAAATATACTTTAGCTTTAATTCATTATTTGTTTCTGTTAGTTTGTTCTTTACTTTATTAGATAAAGTGAGCCCGGTCCTGTGTAGATGTTTAATTTCCTAATGGAAAATGCAGTAGTTAAAAAAAATGAAGATGGTACCTAATTTGTGTAGAGTTTTAAAAGTACAGAGTAAAATATTTGATTTTAATTTTGTAAATACTGATTTATAATATTGTAGTCGCCATTATAAAAATTTATTGTAAGAACATCAAGATGGTTTCATTAAATATTATTACATTATTTTATTTATTGATCCACGTACTATTTAAACATGCAGTAACATTTATTAAAATCCTGTATACAGGGTGATATTCTAGCTAAGAAGAGCAATATAAAAAAGAGAGTTCGGTCCTGAAATTTTTTAAAATTAAATTATGGTTTTGATTGATCTAAGAGAGTGTAACTGTTGTATAAAATTTTATCAAAATAACTCTAGCCGTTCAAACAAAATGTCCGATTTTAGTTTTGGCAAAAAATCATAAAACACCCTATATCTCACAAACGAGTAAGATTAAAAGCTAAGTATAGGGGTGTTTTAAACTCAGCTAAGTGTACTCTACCTCCCATTAAGCTGTGTCCGTTTAAATCTGAAATACCCTGTATATCTAACATAGACACAACTACTAAGTTTCATGAATTAATTTAGACCAGTGTAATATTTATATTTTATATCGTCCTTAAAACAACTAAGTTTATAAAATCCTCAGTGTTATATCAGTTTGACACTGCTTGTCAGTACCTCTGGCATTTATAGATAGGGCATTGTTGTGTTATAATAATATTGTTTAATTGCCAGCAATATGATAATAAAGTAAAATAAATTGTTATGAAATTTGGTAACACTATAATTTGTCAAACTATATATAGACACCATGTATTTTGAAGTGAATAGTTATAGTAAGATAGGGATAAATGTATTTCTGTTTGAAAGCATATCAAAATTATAAAGTTAATTTACTAAATATCAATATTAGAATGTTGTGGAATAAATGTCAAATCAAAACTTACCAGATTTTGCATAATTTTTGGAACATGGAAAACGACCTTAATATGCAAGTTGATTTGTTTCTTGGTATCTAAGTGTAACTAAGGGGTTGTTGAATTGACACACTTACTTCCAATTTATTAAAGTTGCAGTTTTATTTAAACTTCATTTTTAATAAAAACAATACACAATTAAAATTGTCTCATATGTTTTTAGAATTTGACAGCTTGATTGAAGATTGAAGATAGATAATGTTTTGATTAATTTTAAGTTAATAATTTTATATTTGAACATTGACTGAATGAGAATGTTTTAATATCATTTAAATCACGCTATTTTAAAAAAATGGCATTTAATATCACCAAAACTGACTAGCTCTAGTTTGACATATGTCGTAAAAGGGTAATGCAAAAGTGTAGACACTTTTAGTACCGTCATTGCATCTCTATATATATGATTTCAAAGATTCGTATACCTCGCCCTACTTTGTGACGTTACTGTGTGCGTTGCGCAAATTAAGCTGATTTAAGTGATTTTATGATTGTTTCACTACGTTTCAGGGATCTGTTATCGTGCGACATCTCTATTTAGCTAAAGACCTTCAAAAACGCTTCTCACTCCTTCGGGCACACTTATAAAAGAGCGCTATGTAAACGCGATTAGCCAGAGTGCAGTGGCGTATTCAAAAATAGATATTAACATGTATGAAGACAATAAAATTATTAAAATTGAATTAATATTTTTTTTATATTTTAAAATAATGTGTTTTTATGGAATGTAACTGGGTGTTCACTTCACAAATGAACTAATGGAGAAACCGCCCCTGGTTAAAAGCATTGAATTCATTTAGGATAGAACAAAATTGCTGATAGATCCATGTAGATCAAGTGCAAGATAAAGCCTATTGAAAAAAATATCGGTATAATAATGTACTTTTTACAGCAATAAAAAATTAGTTACTTTTAAGCTTGTTTATTCGTAATTTGTAAATTTTGTTGTGTGCCTTCTTCTTACGACAAGTCATTACTACCAAAAATGTCATGACAATTCAGTACAAAACCACGAAATCCGTTTATTCCTCATAAAGATTTATCCTCCGCCCAAATCAAATTTATGGAATTTCATCGAGAAAACAAAAACCTCTTTTTTTCTCGCTATTTTACGAGCAACGCCACGCTGCGGTAGCCTGTATCATTATTCTCGCAGCTTGATATTAATTGCCGACTTTTGTTGCAGAATGTCCATCGAGTGCGCCGAAGAAGATGCCCACGCGATGTAGTTCCGTGAATCGCGGTACTTGATTGGTTAACGTTAAGGTGAGTAATTTTTACGGTTTATTGAAAAAAAATTTAATTGATTTTTGAGTTGGTTCCGTGGATCAGCTGGTTGAGTTTGCTTTCAGGAGACGACAGATTTCGCAATAAGTTGTATATTGAAAACACGATCGGGTCTCACTATATTCTCATTGATTTCAGTTATTCTATTATTTATTATTATGCATATTGTTACAGGTTTAAAGTGTACATTTATTTAAGATCGTAGTTGTAAAAAAATATGAAAATAGGTACCTGGTACCGTTATTGCATTAGGCATGTTTTTGGTATCCTCCTATTTGCGTACGTCCCATTTGCGTACACGGTTAATTTTGTCCCACTTGCGTACACCGTGAGGTCATGCCTTGTGACAGGTAAAAATATTATGATGCATAGTCCTACTTGCGTACACACATAAAATAGGGCCTATTATATTACAGTTTGAAGATGTTATAATTTTCTTTTTTAATGGCCACAAAATATTGCAAAATAAAAGTTGATTTCATGTATGTTAAGTTGATACCTATTTACGAACTAAGGACTAACAAAATTACTATTATTTTTGATCGTGGAATTGACTTTGTCAGCAATATTCCAATGTTGTCTTCAGTAAAGACCAGTTTATATCGACACAGACAAAAGGCAAACGGACTGTCGAAAATGCCAAAATGTGTATCGGATGTCGAAATATCTGAAAGGTCTCTTCTTTTGAACGATGGATCTTTCTTCCTGCTCGCTGATGATGGTTACGAAGACAGAATTTTAATATTTTCATCATCGATTGGGAAGGAGATTATATTAAACCAGAATACTTTCTTTATGGTTGCAGTAAACAGTTTACTCAACTTTATACAATACATGTGGACATTGGAAGCAATACAGACGAGCGAAACGTAATTCCTGTAGTTTATGCACTACTCAAGAACAAAACTCGCTCTACATATGAGAGATTATTTACGATAATAAAAGGAGCCCCAAACTGGAAACCAACAGTAGTGACTGTGGGAAGCAGTAATTATAGCTATAAGGAATGTGTTTCCTAACGTTGCAATAAATGGCTGTCATTTCCACTACAATCAATGTATATGGCGAAAAGTACAACAGTTGGGCCTAGTTATAGAATACCGGCACGATGATGAACTGCGACTACATATTCGTATGTGTGCTGCTTTGGCGTATAGTCCACTTGAAGATTTGGATATCAGTTGGCTAACCATTCAAGAAAATTCACCCGTTAACGAAAAACTTCAAAAGTTCTACGATTATTTCGTGGATCAGTGGCTAGAAAATAGTAAATTACGCCAGATATGTGGAACTGCAGCAAAAAGCTCCATCGTACAAATAACGTCGTGGAGGGATAGAACAAGTTACATCATCTGGTCAAAAGAAACCATCCGCCTGTCTTACAGTTGATTAAACACTTAAAAGAAGAAGCAGAAAATAGTGATTTTCTTTACAAACGAAAAGAATTGAATTTGGAGGGAAAAGAAGAAAAACAAAATACGTCAAGTTGGACATTAGAATTAATAAAATAATAGCGGCATATACAGAAGCAAAAGACGTCGCTAAATTAGAGTAACCGACTGTAGGGCTCTACATTTTGTAAATACCATTCTTTTTGTAAATTCTTAAAAAACAAAAAAAAACTCAAAAAAAAATAAAAAATTAAAAAACTAAAATAAATACAAAAAAAACTTTTAAACACGCCAGCAAATCGCTCCCAGTCCTAAGCCTAGAAATGGTGTGAAGGAAAGTTTTAAAAGTAAAATTGAGTATAACTGCATATGTACGCAAGTAGGACTAATATCGTAATACTTTTACCTGACTCCAGAGATAATCTAACCCGTGTACGCAAATGTGACAAAATTGACCGTGTACGCAAATTGGACGTACGCAAATAACACTATATCCATGTTTTCACCATATTATTAGAGATAATAAATCTTAACTTTACATTTACAACCCTTACAACGCTATATAATTATATTTTTCGTAATATATAAATCAAAAATTGACAACATGTGTCAAAAAGTGTCAGAACTGGCGGTGTCAAACTTGGCAACGCTGATTAAATAACCAATTACAGGAGAGGGATTTTCCCCCTCGGGGGTAGTAGATGTTGATTATAAAATTTAGCGAGGGGAAGGGGGGATTACTCTCTCTGGTAGTAAACATCGGAGATCAGAATCGCCGGAGAAGGGAGTCTAATTTTCCAGTTTTATGATATTTCTATAGATAAGACTATTTTTTTATTTAAATCATAACTTTTTTATATCAACTTCAATTTTAAAGTTTAAATTTTTATTAGGTTGAGAAAAGATGGAACTACATTTATGTCGTATTATTATTATTATATCGTATATATCGTATATATGTCGTATTATTTGAAAAATAATGTATTTTTATTATACTAATTTATGATGTAAAGAGGATTTTTTTCTGACTGAACCCTTTATATTTTTTATTAAAAACTTCTGTAGGATGATAGTTCCATCCTTAGTGTTTTGATAAAAAAAAATCAATAAAATATATTAATTATTGTCCAGTCTAGAAAGAAAAACAAATACTCGAGTAGTGCAATAGCTTTTAATAAATAAGTTTCAAGTTTGTACTTGGTTACGTAGGTATAGGCAACACATTATACATTACTTGCGACAAGTTTTTGGTTTTTATATCTAGTTCTTAAAAAGTGTGATCGTAGAAAAAATCTTCTGTGCATTTTGAGCGACAAATTCGTTGCTGTTTTCGATGGATTGCCGCGTTTCTTTACGCGTCGCGCGGCTCACTTTCTTTCTCAAATTTTCACTTTTTGCTCTTAATACACAAAAAGCTATTTTATGTAGGTAAATTTAAATTACCTAAACTTTTGTAGTTGTTGACTTTTATTGTCTTTTTTCTACTTTTTTTTTTTGGGTAGTGGTATGTCGATATTATATAGGGTACATGTTTGAGACGATTCTCTTTAAATTAAGAATTTAAAAATAAACCGAAGTATGACATAATGTGGGTATTTGTATTACCTAGCTAACTTGATATTGGACCGTATTTGTAAAAAAAAGCATTACCTTCTGCTTCTAAAAATCAAAGCAATTCTGTTAATGTATATGTATAAAAAAATTAAAGGAAAAGGTTTTGCTTCAAGGGGTTTGCTTTAAAGTAAAAGGTTTTACGTTTTTCATATTTATAAAAAAAACATTTGCTGAAAAACTAATGAATTTGCTTCTATAAAAAGGAATCTAGGTTAACATCAACTTTTTATATTCTTTTCAATAGTTGTCCAACCATAACAACGCTTTTAACGTAACAATTTGTGTGTTAAAATCTATATGGAAGGACTTTGTATGGTCCCAGAGTTTTATTTGTTATGGCGTTTTTAAGTGATATGTATGATCGCTTTTTGTTAGCTACCACTTCAGTCATATAATGGGCATCACTTCCCGTGATAATGTCATAGCTTAAAGTACGTATTAACGGTAGACATGAATATATTTCTTACATGGTACCCGAATTAGTACAGAATTTATGTCTTAATCTATGGCGTTCAACATTACTTTCTCCCTGTTTTATTTTTCAATCGTGTTTTCATATTGTTCAGTTTTTTAATAAAAGCTTTAATTTCCATTTCCTCGCCAAACAGAGTCACGTAATCTTTAACGATTTCAGTTATCTTTTTTTTTTTTTCATCGCTGGAACTTGCGATTTCTCGAGACTCTCCGGAAATGCTTGAACTTTTTCTGCGATAAACATCATCTCAGTAGTCATATCTTCGCTACCTTCCTGTTCTTTCTGTACTACAAAAATAAATCAGAAGAATTAACTGCCTCTTAATTCATTTGCGAACAGTTTTTAAGCATAAAAAAAATTAACTGCAAAAGACATACACGTTAATTGCACACTGCAAGTTTCAACTAGTTGTCGAAATCGCTAACGGCTAATCTCTGTACCTTTTACTTCATTTATCCGAAGCATTTTCTTGCAAGGAAAAGGTAGAGATTATACATACGAATTATAGTAAAACCTTTCACTTCTACCTTTTGCTTCTACCTTTTTTTATAAATACGACCTATTTTAACTTCTTTAACATATTTAAAATCTGATTGTTTACCATAATAAAAACCACTACAGGAGTATGATACTTAGTCGAGTTCGCCATGACGTATTGTGGTGTGGAATACGGCTATTTGTAATGGCTATGAGCAATAAATTTCCGGCGCTGTTTTCGATCAGCTGATACCTCAAATTCGTTAAAGTCACGCCGTCGTATCGCAATACGTCACCTGGCAGTAATATCAATCTGCGTAAGAACATATCTTCTTTTTATAATATCATAATTGTTTACAGTTTTTATATAAATTGTAAATTTTATTTATTTAAAGCAGTTTATTTAGTGGTATTTGTTCTAAAATAATAATTCATTCATTTGTACTCAAATATTTATCAGCACACTTATAATACATCAAATTTATCTAACAATTCCAATGTCTATCTTCAACTTTGTTTCAAAAACTGAACTCTGCTCCGCCCGCATGCGTCCTATTTATATACATAAGTGAGCTCGAGTAATGTTCGATTGTAAATTTGGGTAAGATCGTGTATATTCCTATAGTGCGTTTGCCCTAAATTAAAGTGTCCAGAAAGTTCGGCTGGGCTCCAGTACTTGTAATGTTTCTAGAAAGGCGTATTCAGGGCCACCGAGAGCCAGGTCGGGCCCCAGGACAATTTTGCAGGTCAGGCCCTGCGACAATTTATAAAAAAATATCAATATCACATTTCTAAAAAAAGGCCTTCAAGCTAACAATTATCCTTCTCTTTAGTGAAATGTCTAAAAAAAAGGTCTTCAAGCAAAAACTTCTCCGCTTTAGTGAAACCTCTAAAAGGTTGTGCTCTTGTGCTCTTGGCGCGAACTTCTAAAAAAATAATAAAAGACGTCGTGCTGCCAGGCCCCCACTTGAGCCCAAACTCCGGG